GGGGGGGGGGGGGGGATAACTGTTATAGGTAAGTAGTGGGGGTAACTGTTATAGGTAAGTAAGGGGGGTAATTGTTATAGGTATAAGTAAGGGGTAACTGTTATAGGTAAGTAGTGGGGGGTAACTGTTATAGGTAAGTAAGGGGGGTAACTGTTATAGGTAAGTAAGGGGTTACTGTTATAGGTAAGTAGTGGGGGGGGGGGTAACTGTTATAGGTAAGTAGTGGGGATAACTGGTATAGGTAAGTAGTTGGGGGTAACTGGTATAGGTAAGTAGGGGGGATAACTGTTATAGGTAAGTATTTGGGGGTAACTGTTATAGGTAAGTAGGGGGGATAACTGTTATATTTGAAGTCACTGTATGCTTTAGACAGTTTATTCATTGCAAATCACTCTAAATCAAATTACATGTTATTTTACAGGATATACGGCAGACATCCCTGACACGATCATGGGTCTCACCTTCATCGCGTTTGGAGTCAGTTTGCCTGATGTGATAGCTAGTCTTATAGTGGTACGGGAGGGTAAGTATAAATAGCCTTATACAGTGTTGCAGTATGGATGTTCACTGTATACTGGTGGTAGAGGAAGTTAAGTGTACCTACAGTTTATTTTTTGTGTGAAGTATACTATTGGTCCTATATTTCTTCAACAATTTAACATTACATGTACCGGGCAAAAAAATATCTAATTGTTCTTAAAACAATCCTTATCCTTAAAAAGTGTTTAAAAAGAGATAGACATAATTATACTTAGCACTTATCAGTAATACAGACCTCTTAGGTGATACGTTAATCTAAAATACAGAGACCCCAAAGTCACCCTAAAATACAGAGACCCCAAAGTCACCCAAGGTCATCTGTTTATGAATGATTGAACATTTTTGTGTTTGTAGGTCATGGAGATATGGCGGTTTCTAATGCTGTAGGAAGTAATGTTTTTGATATCCTTATATGTATGGGGTTACCGTGGTTACTACAGATCATCATCAATAATGGAGAACCTGTCCAGGTTTACAGTGAAGGTAAGTCAAGGTCAAACTTATAGGCTACCTGCACTTATTGCATCATAAAATAATATTCTTGAATGCAAACATGCTTTTATCAGGAAAATTCATATTTTTTAGATAATTGGAAATCACAACGTTGAAATGTTATCCAAGATTTTGAGAGTTGAGCCAGGATGTCTACATGTATAATGGAAACGTTATCTACATGTATAACGGAAACGTTATCTGAGAATTTGAGAGTTGAGCCAGGATGTCTACATGTATAACAGAAACGTTATCTGAGATTTTGAGAGTTGAGCCAGGATGTCTACATGTATAACGGAAACGTTATCTGAGATTTTGAGAGTTGAGCCAGGATGTCTACATGTATAACGGAAACGTTATCTGAGATTTTGAGAGTTGAGCCAGGATGTCTACATGTATAACGGAAATTGCTGTTGTACTTCTGTCCTCTGCATGATTTTATATATACCTACAATATATAATAGCATTGTTTGTGTGTGAGTGATGTGTGTATATCAGTGGCTGATTTGATGATGAGTCCTTGTAGCAGAAAGTGTTGTTATCTTGCTCACTTACATCAATTAACATACTGTCTTTACCGGTGATAAGCACATACCTGGTAATAAGCCCGCCCCCAATTATCCTTACTTTCTGTACACATGATGAGTGCCCGGTATTAAGCCTACCCCCCTTTATTTATCTGTGTCAGTAGTAGAGTATAAAATGGTCTGGGTTGGGTGCTGCAGTGTCTGTGTTGCCACATTCATGTGAGGTGTCGTTAACTGTTAGAAGCTGAGTCCCACCACAGAACACGGATGCCCTTCAGTACATGTAAAGGCATGCATGGACATTTTTGTGGACAGACTGCCTTAGTAAGGTAGCTCCTTCCAAGTCCTCAGTTTGTGTTGATTGTTTTATGTGTGTATACGTACTGTAGAGCGTCTAGAGTGGCCTATTCTATCTTACTTGGACACTGTATCATATGTCATATAATGACTATAAAGTGTTGTTTGTATAACTGATGTTGATGTATGTGTTGTTGGTGTAAAATTGATGTTGATAAGTCGTATTTGTTATTTTACAGGTCTCCTCTACTCCTCCTTCACTCTGCTAGCCACTGTGTTTTTACTGCTGTTGATCACCCATCTTAACAAGTGGCGACTCACTAAGACGTATGGGGTCGTGCTTCTTATCATATATGTGTTTTTTACCGTACTTACATCGCTTTACGAACTCAACATATTTGGTTATGTCCACCCACATGAATGTGCAAGCAACTACTGATGATCGACACCACAGAAACACTGGTAGGTCGTGTAGGAACCAGTGACATCTCAAAACAACTGCTGGATGTTCCCGTAGTGACTGATGATGTCACAACGATGCAGGGTGGGAAAGTCGCTACTGAATGAAATCAGAATACTGCTGGATGTTCCCGTAGCGACTAATGATGTCACAACGATGTAGGTTGTGAAAGTCGCTACTGAAGGACATCAGAATACTGCTGGATGTTCCCGTAGCGACTGATGATGTCACAACGATGTAGGGGGTGAAAGTCGCTACTGAATGTCATCAGAATATTGCTGGATTTTCCCGTAGTGACTGATGATGTCGCAACGATGCAGAGTGTGCAAGTCGCTACTGAATGACATCAGAATACTGCTGGATGTTCCCGTAGCGACTGATGATGTCACAACGATGTAGGGTGTGAAAGTCGCTACTGAATGACATCAGAATACTGCTGGATGTTCTGTAGTGACTGATGATGTCACAATGATGCAGGGTGTGAAAGTCGCTACTGAATGACATCAGAATACTGCTGGATGTTCCCATAGTGACTGATGATGTCACAACGATGCAGGGTGTGAAAGTTGCTACTGAATGACATCAGAATACTGCTGGATGTTCCGTAGTGACTGATGATGTCACAATGATGCAGGGTGTGAAAGTCGCTACTGAATGACATCAGAATACTGCTGGATGTTCCCATAGTGACTGATGATGTCACAACGATGCAGGGTGTGAAAGTTGCTACTGAATGACATCAGAATACTGCTGGATGTTCCCTTAGTGACTGATGATGTCGCAACGATGCAGGGTGTGAAAGTCGCTACTGAATGACATCAGAATACTGCTGGATGTTCCCATAGTGACTGATGATGTCACAACGATGCAGGGTGTGAAAGTTGCTACTGAATGACATCAGAATACTGCTGGATGTTCCCGTAGTGACTGATGATGTCGCAACGATGCAGGGTGTGAAAGTCGCTACTGAATGACATCAGAATACTGCTGGATGTTCCCATAGTGACTGATGATGTCACAACGATGCAGGGTGTGAAAGTTGCTACTGAATGACATCAGAATACTGCTGGATGTTCCCGTAGTGACTGATGATGTCGCAACGATGCAGGGTGTGAAAGTCGCTACTGAATGACATCAGAATACTGCTGGATGTTCCCGTAGTGACTGATGATGTCACAACGATGCAGGGTGTGAAAGTCGCTACTGAATGACATCAGAATACTGCTGGATGTTCCGTAGTGACTGATAAGTACTGGTGACATCACAGAATGATGGATATCACGGTCGATATTGAAATCATCATATAACCACCAGATATTGTATTGAGTGTAATAACGTCACTAGTTATCTGATGTTGTAGTGGGTCCTAACGACATCACCCCAGTTGTCCGGGTTGGTCAGTTGTTCTAGTACTGTAGGTGCTCACACAATTTATGGGTAGACGCTAATGACACCAGAGTATTGGAATGTCGGATGTATGGGTAGACGCTAACGACATCAGAGTATTGGAATGTCAGATGTATGGGTAGACGCTAATGACACCAGAGTATTGGAATGTCAGATGTATGGGTAGACGCTAATGACACCAAAGTATTGGAATGTCGGATGTATGGGTAGACGCTAATGACATCAAAGTATTGGAATGTCGGATGTATGGGTAGACGCTAACGACATCAGAGTATTGAATGTCGGATGTATGGGTAGACGCTAATGACATCAGAGTATTGGAATGTTGGATGTATGGGTAGACGCTAATGACACCAGAGTATTGGAATGTCAGATGTATGGGTAGACGCTAATGACACCAAAGTATTGGAATGTCGGATGTATGGGTAGACGCTAATGACATCAGAGTATTGGAATGTCGGATGTATGGGTAGACGCTAATGACACCAGAGTATTGGAATGTCGGATGTATGGGTAGACGCTAATGACATCAGAGTATTGGAATGTCGGATGTATGGGTAGACGCTAATGACACCAGAGTATTGGAATGTCGGATGTATGGGTAGACGCTAATGACATCAGAGTATTGGAATGTCGGATGTATGGGTAGACGCTAATGACACCAGAGTATTGGAATGTCGGATGTATGGGTAGACGCTAATGACATCAGAGTATTGGAATGTCGGATGTATGGGTAGACGCTAATGACACCAGAGTATTGGAATGTCGGATGTATGGGTAGACGCTAATGACATCAGAGTATTGGAATGTCGGATGTATGGGTAGACGCTAATGACACCAGAGTATTGGAATGTCGGATGTATGGGTAGACGCTAATGACATCAGAGTATTGGAATGTCGGATGTATGGGTAGACGCTAATGACACCAGAGTATTGGAATGTCGGATGTATGGGTAGACGCTAATGACATCAGAGTATTGGAATGTCGGATGTATGGGTAGACGCTAATGACACCAGAGTATTGGAATGTCGGATGTATGGGTAGACGCTAATGACATCAGAGTATTGGAATGTCGGATGTATGGGTAGACGCTAATGACACCAGAGTATTGGAATGTCGGATGTATGGGTAGACGCTAATGACATCAGAGTATTGGAATGTCGGATGTATGGGTAGACGCTAATGACACCAGAGTATTGGAATGTCGGATGTATGGGTAGACGCTAATGACATCAGAGTATTGGAATGTCGGATGTATGGGTAGACGCTAATGACACCAGAGTATTGGAATGTCGGATGTATGGGTAGACGCTAATGACATCAGAGTATTGGAATGTCGGATGTATGGGTAGACGCTAACGACATCAGAGTATTGGAATGTCGGATGTATGGGTAGACGCTAACGACATCAGAGTATTGGAATGTCGGATGTATGGTTAGACGCTAACGACATCAGAGTATTGGAATGCCAGTATCCTTAAACGATTTTTTATATTATGGGAACGTGTTTGTTAAATGTTTACAATGTATTTTCAAAGTTTAAGGATTGTTAAATTTGTTTGTTTTTAAGATTTACATATTTTTCATGAGGTTTACTTGAGGGATAAGAATCTTAAAAATATAGTGGTATACATGGCCAGTACAAGTGTAGGTGTACATATAATGGCCATTTACATTTTACTCCAAATCATTTGTTCAGGTAGGTGAGATGCATTTTAATACTTTCGTTCCCATGGTAACCCTTGCATTCCTTAATTAGTGATAATTGTTTCTTTAAAATATAGCTATACAGTTTAAAAGCTGAATCTGAAAAAGTCGTGTGATATTTATGTGAAACCAATTTACACAATTAATGTTTTTAGTACATTTACCAAATTGATTTTATGATTAATTTAGATCTGATTGTATAGAGAGGATGAGAAGATGGAGTTATAAATTTTCATCATAATTTAACAATGTGGTTGGGCACAAAAAATTGAATTAAAAAAAATCTAATTGATGTACAGCTTTAATCTTTACATTAACCAAATTGATTTTTTGATTAATTTAGATCTGATTGTATATAGAGGATGAGAAGATGGAGTTATAAATTTTCATCATAATTTAACAATGTGGCTGGGCACAAAAAATTGAAATTTAAAAAATAAATAAAATCTAATTGATGTACAGCTTTAATCTTTCTGTTGTTTCTGTAAAATGGGATAAATATGTAATCGCACTGTGAAACAAATCTCCTTCCCAAAAGAGTTTCACAGACACCTGTTAGATATCTTTATAGATAAACATTTGGATAGGATGAATTATACAAATCAAAAAGAGACCAAAGGGGGATAACTCATCATTGGTAAAACAGGGAAGGAAGCATATATCGGGGTAGTGTATGGATACTGTAAAACAAAATAAAACAAAGTAAAGGGGGATAACTCATCATTGGTAAAACAGGGAAGGAAGCATATACCGGGGTAGTGTACGGATACTGTAAAACAAAATAAAACAAAATAAATGGGAATAACTCATCATTGGTAAAACAGGGAAGGAATTAAGCATATACCGGGGTAGTGTACGGATACTGTAAAACAAAATAAAACAAAATAAATGGGAATAACTCATCATTGGTAAAACAGGGAAGGAATTAAGCATATATACCGGGGAAGTGTACGGATACTGTAAAACAAAATAAAACAAAATAAAGGGGGATAACTTATCATTGGTAAAACAGGGAAGGAATTAAGCATATATACCGGGGAAGTGTACGGATACTGTAAAACATAATAAAGGGAGATAACTTCATGTAATTACAGATTATTACAGATAATTACAGCAATTACTGTGGCTTTATAGGTTTGTCTGTCTTTTTGTAACCTCAATTATCATTCTGCCGCCTTTCACTTTGAGTTGGCATCATGAGGTGAAAGAAGTCTGATCAAATTTTTGAAATCATATGTTTGAGAATAACTTCTATTCTAAAGAAACATTAGTGAACCTGCCTGTCTTAAAACGTGTGAAATGGAGGAAGGTAGATATGTCAGAGATTTTATTGTAGGTAACAATTGAACTCTGTTGTCACACCTTTAAATGTAAGCTTTACTTATTAAAGAGCTTTTGTTTTTGTACACTGTAGACAGAAAATTGAATAAATATGTTTTGTATATAGATATGTAGATAAATGTTATAGAAAGCTTAGTGGAAAGTATTTGTTGATTGTAATTTATTGCCAAAATATACTTTACCTTACTAGTCATTTTAACTTCTGGTCAATACATCATTGACTCAAAGTTTTTTGTTATTTTTCTTAAATAACCATCTTTTATTTCTTGTTTTCATGTGATTGTTTTGGACCCTCATTAATACTATTTTAGTTTCCATGGAGCTTTTTAAGATATTCCTAGTTGAATTGTTGAATGTTTAGTTATTATTTGAACAATCGGGTTATGATTTATGTATTTATATGTCATCCGGGAAATTAAAAAATTTGGTTCAGTTTTAGTTATGAGATTCATTCAGTGATGCATTTGATAGTAGTAATTGTTTGAGATTACTTTGTACAGTAACAATTTAACCTTTGAGAAATTGTAAATAAAGACAATCCTGAGGAGTTCAGATTACCTACGATTTTTAATGAGGCTGAGCAAGCAGAGCAAGTTTCATAAATCTCAACGAAAGAAAACCAAATCATGTTAAATAAA